CTCTTAAGAAATATGTGCTAACTAAAGTTGTTAAGATTTCAAGATAATTGTTAGCATTGGAAGCCATCATACCCCTGAAAGCTGGATGTTAATCTTGCTGGGGGACTGCATCCTGACACGTCCTCCCCAAGCTGTCCTGAACACCACATACTGCTCTCCTTTGGTATCAGCTCAGGCTGACCCCGGACCGTTTTTCCAGTCTTATCTTCCTACTTCTGCCGTATTTTATGCTGCAATTAAAATAATGAATTGTAATTTCCCATGCATACCCTGGCTTTCCTCTGCTCTGCAGCTTTACTCATGCTAAGGCCTAGAATGCCTTGCCTTGCTTCCCCACCTCTCACCAGGTCCTCAGACTTGTCAGCGTCTTCCTCATCTTTTGTGGCCCTGTCCAGCTGCTGCCTTCACAGAACTTTCTCTGATGATTCTGGCCGCAGGTGTGTCCTCCTTTGAGCTCCTATGGCTCTTTGCATTTTCTACTCTTGCCGCGTCTTGTCTTGCATTAAGTTACTCATATGCTAATTTATTTCTTTCCCTCAGTCAGTCCTTTCAAGATCTGTGAAGGAACGGACCATGTTTCGTGCATCTCTTTCATTCCCTTAATGCCGATCACAGTGCCCTGCATAATGCTCAGTCAATAAATATTAATTAAATGATACATCTTTCACTGAACCCCTGATCTCTTCTGAAATAAAATCTGAAAAAGATTTTCCCCCATACAATAGGTCTTAACGGTCCATCTTTCAAGAAGCCAATGTTGAACTTGAGCTGAGGACTTGTTAAGAGGCTGTGGAGAGCTAGCCCTGAAACCCCTCCAGTCCTGTTGAGCCTCCCTCTCCTGAATATTGTGGCTGAGCATTACAGTCCTGAAAGCTTATATGATACTCTTATTGCATTAGCAATTTTCCATATCAGATTCACTAAATACACAATGGAAACCATTTAGCAAAAAATAGATTTTTATGTGATATGGCTACCACAATGAAACTCTAATGTGATTCCACAGAAAATTGCTAACACGATATGCTGACCCCCTTACCCCCCACCAATAGCCACATAAAAATTGATACTGTTTTTAGTGTATGTGTTTCAAACTATGCTCACAAAAGAAAAAGCAGGCTGCTACTGAGATGAGCTTCTGTTTTGATCAGACTGGATGTAGGAAGGGTCTTATTATCAGCCTTGTCAGAGAGCTGAATCTCCCTTCTGTTCCTTGCTCATTATATTACCAAGCGATACTAAATCACGTCTTAGAATGCATCATATTCTGCTAAGTGATTCAGAATTAATAGAGTTAATATAATGTAAAAAATGTAATTTGTGTATAAATATAATGCCTGTATAATATATTTGATGATACAGTTTTAATTGGGAAGCCTAATCAACTCAAAATCAATTTTCTAAGAATCAAAGAGACTCTGACATAAAATTGAAATTGAAAACTTAAAATGAAATGCATAAATATTAAGAAACAAATTATAAATGTGTGTACACAGCTGTGTCACTTTAGAAGTCATAAATACTGAAAAGATTTTGGTTCTTTCCCTTCATTCCCTAATGCCTATTTAATTCAAAGACAAAAATTTAACCCATAAAATAAATGTAAAGGAGTCCTACAAAGTTCTGATTTTCCTATAAAGGCAGTTTTGATTTTCTTTTTGGGGGGGAAATACTAAATATCAAAATCTTTCTCTCTCTTGATATACTGATTAACTGATATCACTGGTCGGGATTATTTTTATATATGAATTTCCCCTTGGGGAAATTTAATATTTAATGTCTGATCACTTCCTTTCCCCCTTTTGCAAATTTAACTTTGAGGGACCATAAATTGGAAACTTGTATTCTTCAGTCTTGAGATGGGTTTAGGCTTTGGTAGTGAAACGCGGTCTTTGGTTTACAAACACTGGGATTACAAGGGATGACTGTTCATTCCAGAACTCCAGTTCTCAGTTTTCTACCACTGGACGCATCATCTGGAAAGTGCACATGTGCTCTTGGGGCCACCCAGGTGTGTTGATGACATTGGGGATTGGTTCTGAAACAACTTACAGAGGGTTTGGAAGCAGTGGAAATGTGAACACTCGGTGAGGTAGCAGCAGCTTGAACTCGGGATCCTGAGAGCACATCTCTAGGTATTGCGGGCCGTGTGCCTTCACAAACGCTGCTTTAACCCGTGGAATATCTTCTCCCACGTAGCCTATTATTTTTCACTTTCAGTCTGTTAAACTCCTTGGAAGCTGATCAAATGTAAATTTCCTTTAGTTTGTGTGTATCAGTATGTTTCGATTTGTTTTTACAAAATGCAATAATTGTGAAATGGGTAAGGTACGAGATAAACCTGGAGCTGTAGATTGGGGCAGTTTATCAAAGGCCTTGAAGGATTTTGTCTTAAGTACTTGTGGGCTGTGGAAGGTTTAGAGCAGAGTCGCAAATATTTTTAAAGGAAAGTTTGATGGATGGTAGAGTTCAACTGAAGTGCTAGGAGTTACTTTCTGAATTCTGGTATCTAAATTTAACTGACTTGGTAGTAACACATTTCAGAAAATAACTCAGAGAAGGATTCACAGATTCCATCAGAGTTTTCCATCTCATGGTAGAATATTTGACTTCTTCTATTATTCACACTTCATTATAAATCCATTAATTCATCTTGCTTTTTACTTTGCTAAGAATCACGCATGAGAGAATTGGAGTTTGGTTGGAGGAGGAAGGAGAAAGAGTAGGTGATTTAAAAGTTTGTGCATTAGGGCAGTTGTGTGAAGATTTGAGGTACCTAAGCTTGGGCAGGGTTTGCTGCAGAAAGCAAGCTGGCAGATGCTCAAGGTCGACATCACGACTGTTTGGGCTGGTGTTAGCAGTATTAGAGACCACCTGTGTTAGGAGTTAAGAGGGTCTTAGTGAGCTCACTGGGGAAGATATCAGCACTTGGAACATTGTTTCTATGGGAAAATGAATTCCAATTTCGAAACGACAACACAGAAATGAGCACAATTTGTTCATACAGTGGGACCGCCAGTGATTAATGAGTGATTATTATTAATGATATGAGTGGTTATTAGAAGCCAATGAATGTGGAAGATGTGAAAATGTGTTCAACTAAAAAGATTTTAGGTCTCGTCGTTTTCTTTCACTTGTTGAGGCATTTTTGTCATTCTTTCCCTGTTTTCTAGTGGTAGTAGAATTTCATTTTTAGGAACAGAAGTTGGGTCAGATGTTTGTCAAAGACAAACCTTTGTGTACAGAAATGCTTCCCATAGGGCTTATTGGTTAATTATGTGTTTACACAAAGCGGTCATTAGGTGTTGGCTCTGTGTGCAAACAATGGCAAGTTGGTGCTTAGGTTATTTCAAAGGAGTGGCACCTCTTTTCTATTGTTATTGATCTAAATTTATTGCAAATACACATTTTTAATTTTTTTCAAAATATTGTGTTGATTATGTTTTGGGGTTTTAAAATGTTGTGATTTTCTGGCTATAGTAGTTGCTCTATGAAGTAGGACTTCTAAATTTGGGGGACTTATGTAGGTTTTTCATTCAACCAATATTTACTCTGTGCCTATTGTATCTACACTATATATGAGGCCCAAAACCAGGCCCTTGGGACCACATAACAAAATAAAGTAACAGAACAAAATAAAATCCTGATCTCTAGAATTTCATAGCCTAATTAGAGAGAGAAAGATCAGGAAAGCAAATATCAAAATGTTTACCCAGTAGTAAGATTCCTTATGCAAAAAAATTGTCATCTATTTGAATTTCTCTATATTTTTCCTAGTTAGAATTCCATTTTTACTGTGTATGAATTTTGAGTCACTCTTGACAAGGATACAGGTTTCTCCCGCTATCTGAAAGCAGGGCGTTCGTATGAAACCTTCTGTAAGCAGAAATGGTGTAAAGCGGAAACAGTTGATAAAAGCAAAAATCCTTTTCGGATTTCTTTTGGTTAGTGAAAACAGGTGCTAATGTAGGACTTTCATAAAAGCGAAGTGGCGTAAAGGGAACTTTCGAAAAGCAGGGGATACCTGTAGTTAGAATGGTCCCATTTGGGGATCGGGACTGTAAATAGCAATGAAACAGAAGGCATAATGGGAAGAGAAGTTCTTGCAGTAAGTCCTTGTGAGAACTTAAGGATGCTGCAGATAACCCTGGGCCTGAAATTGCACTACCTTATCTGACAGGAGGAAGAGCCGTTACTTCTCTGATTTTTCCCCTTATCCTCTACTGTTGGAAGAGTAAGTTTGCATGGTCCCTCCCACAGGAAACCTCCCCTGACCCTTTTAATAGCAGTTATAATAATGCACCTATCACCTGTCTGGTAATAACATGTTTAGATTTGTGTCTCCCTCTGTGGACTGTAATATCGTAGCGAGAAGAGATCGTGTCTTGTCTTGAAATAACCCAGCACCTAGCAGAGTGATATTTGATCAATTTACTTTCTTCCTTCAACCACCCTCCTTTCTCTTCTCTAAGATAGGTGGGTATTTTGTACGGTAAGGTGGAAGGAAGAATAAGGCATTTGGATTTTAATCTGTAGGCAAAAAAGAACTGTTAAATTTTAACCTGTGATCAGAAGAGAAATATTCAAGAGTTTGAACAGGAGAATCACGTAATCGAAGGGGTATTTGAAGGAGGGTGAAGACAAATTGAAGTGGCGTGGTGCCGCTAAATGACCACATGGACACCTGGTGTAGCTGGGGAGATGGTGGCTGACACACCGGCTCCCTGCTTCATGGATGTCTCTGACAATTAAAAATCTGAGCTTCTCCAAACAGCAATCCAGAACACAGTTTGTTAGTGATTCTTCTCCATTAGTTTGTAATCCCCACCCCTCAGGCAGCCTTTGGCCGGGAAACTCAATCTCCCACAACACACACACATCAATAAAACCTTAAAAATTGCCCACATGCCATTTTAAAAAGCATTTAAAATGTTATTTATAGCCATTTAACACTTTACAGGTATTCCAGTATAGGTTGGTGTTCTGTATAACATCGCCTTAAGTAGACAGACTGTTGAATGCACAGGAAGGAGGGAGTGCATTATAGGATTCTGCCTTTCAGAGGAATTAATTGTATCACATCAGCAAAGCCATGGGCTTTAGGTCAGATGTTAGACTAATTACCTAAGGCTTAATAATACAGTAGTTAATGTTATTGATAAAACTGGATTTTACGTTCATTCATGCAGCATATCTTGTGTGCCAGACCTGGTGTTAGGTAGAACAGACCACTCTGTGGCATGGCCTGTGGCCTTTGGAAGGAGCTCAGCAGCTCTGGGGAAAACAAGTAACAAATATTAGTCAAGTGTCATCCGTGCTATTGTGAAGGTGTATGCTGGGTGCTGTGAAAGTCCAGAGGAGCTGACTGATGCTGTTGTCTGGGAGCCACAGGGAAGGTTCAAGGAGGTTGGCTTCCAGCTCTGTCCTGAAGGAGGAGCAGAGTGTACCTGCACACAGGGCTTCTAGGAAGAGGGGAGGGATTGAAGGGCAAAGAGAGAAGAATTGATGAGGCTGGGAATGTAACTAGGGGAGGCCGCATTGTGAAGAGCCTGGTTTGAAATTAATGTTAAAAGCATCAAATCATACTCACCCGTGATATTTCCTTTTTTTTCCATATAGAATATAATTACATACTCATAGAAATTTGGAGAAAAACATTTAAAAGCACAGAGAAAGTATTTTTAATGCCAACGCCTGGAAATAGTGCTGCTCCTTTTGGCTGCAGTCTCTCAGCAAGGTGTGTTACTTAGGAGTGTGACAGGGTCAGCTCTGGGGTCAGGATGACATTGCATGAGGGGCCTAAGGAGGAGGGTGCTTTCTGGGGAGTGGGCTGATGAGGGGAGGCACAGTAGGATACAGCTGCCCGGAGTGAAACAGACTCACTGGGAACATCCGGTATGGGACATAGCTAAGAAATATATGGCAGGGCCCGTCCTCAGGATTTGGTGACCTATTGAATGTGGGGTTAAGGAAGAGGAAGGAATAGAATTTCCATCAGATTGTTCTGAGTCAAGAGTGGCTTCATGGTTTCTAGCTTGGGCAAGTGGGTAGAGAGTGGTGCTGCCAGCAAGTAGAGAATGCCGGAAGAAAAACGGTGTTCCAAGAAAGCTGATAGGTTCCATTTCTTTCTCTATTTTTTTAATTAATAAACTGTTTTTTAGAGCAGTTTTAGGTTCACAGCAAAAATTGATCGAAAAGTACAGAGAGTGCCCATATTCCCCCTAACCCCACATACTGCACAGCCTTCCCTACTATGAACATCCTCGCCAGAGTGGTTCATTTGTTACAATCGATGAACCTACATTGACACGTTATCACCCGGAAGTTGTCCGTAGTTTACATTAGGGTCCACTCTTGGTGTTGTACATTCTTTGAGTTTGTACAAATGGATAAGGTCGTGTATCCACCATTGTAGTATCATACAGAATAGTTTCACTGCTCTAAAAATCCTCTGTGCTCCACCTGTTCAACCCTCCCTCTCCCCAACTCCTGGCATAGATTCCATTTCTACATTGGAATATATTGCATTTAAGGATCCTGGAGTGTGGAAGTCAGTAATGGTCAAATTTTAATTAAAAAAAAATTGTGTTTTTTTAACCAACAGGACCCTTTCATCAAGGAAGCCTCATTAAGTAAAGCCGAATGAAGAAAGGCTGCTCTGGTGGAAGGTGGCATCTGCAGAGGGACAGAGTCTCGTGCTTTGCTTTCCCCCTAGTGTCCACCTCCCCACCGCTCTCTTGTTGCTGTGTCTGAGGCTCTCTGCCATCTCCAGAATTCTGAAGAACACCGTTTGGAGACTGCACGGTAAGCAGCTCAGAGGAAGGGCCAGTAGTTCTCGGATGCAGTGACGTCAAACTCTTGTGCTGTTTGAGACTTAGTGTCTGTTTTTTTGTTTTGGCTTTTTTGTTTGTTTTGGTGCCTCTCCTTGGGGTCAAGATGCCAGCTTTGATTTTGCTTTGCTATCATTGCACCTGATGGTAGCTTCTTCTCTTCCCTCTCCCAGTTTGCTGCTCTAATTTACTGTGAACTTGGAAATCATAGAAACATGTTTGTTTAAACTGAGTCGAAAAGAGCTGCAAACAGGGCCTGCATGATCTTCTCTGTACAGACTTGGTGACTGCGTTTTGCCAGGTAGAACCCTTTCTTGCTTGTTGCTTGTTCTCAGTTATGTTTTGAACAAATGCAATTGCTAGGTAGTCAGATTTTGTGCAGTGAGCACTCCATCTCTGTCAGGGTCCGTTTGTCTTCTCACTTTCTCTTTCTGTCTGATCCTGGAATTATAGAGAAAGTATATATTATGTAGCTCAGAAATTTCTGTCCTCTAACTCTACTGGGTGAATAATAGCAGTTAACACAGATTAGGAAGAAATTATGTCATAATTTTAATTCCTAATGAGATGCTAATATGTTGAGATAGTTGAGATACTGTTTTTTTTCTATGTGTGTGTGTAAGGAAAATTAGCCCTGAGCTAACATCTGATGCCAATCCTCCTCTTTTTGCTGAGGAAGACTGGCCCTGGGCTAACACCTGTGCCCATCTTCCTCTACTTTATATGTGGGATGCCACCACAGCATGGTTTGACAAGCAGTGCGTAAGTCCGCACCCAGGATCCTAACCTGTGAACCCCGGGCCACTGAAGTGGAGCGTGCAAACTTAACCGCTACACCACAGGGCTGACCCCTGAGATACTGTTTTTTTTGATATGAGGCACTGGTTTTTTGATCATCTTTTTCTCTTCTTTTCCTCTGATCTGGTTCTGAGATAGTTTTTCTTTCTTTCTTTTTTGGCACCTTTTACTTCTACAATGAGGCATGCAGGGGGAATAAGCAGAAATATAACTACTTGTTAAGAATAAAAAAATAATATCCTTACATTAGTTTACAGTTTTCAAACTGCTTTTGTGCACATCCTCTCAGTGTGAAAGGTAGGGATTATTGTTTCAGTTTTACAGAGGAGGAAACAAGATGGAAGCGGTTAATTGCTTGAAGGTCACAGTTAGTTAGTAATGGAGATAGCATTCAGACTCTGGTCCTCGTCCTCCAAATCCTCTGTTCTATCCATTACATCATGTTGCGTCTTGTTCGTGGAAACATCAGTTAAATCGTGGGCCCTTCCAAACTTGAATAATAAAATGTCACCCTTGTGGGGTGGTGTACAGTATTTCCAAGCGTATGCTGGTAATGTAAAGAATATAGGTTGGAATGCTAAAAACTTATGCCATAATCTTCCCAAGGTGGTGTTGACATCTCTTATAACAGTGTTATGAGTTGCTTATCCTTAAAATGTTTAACCATGCTCTTGATATTCAGAATACTACATGGAAAAGATACGTAGCATTCTAAGTCTACTTTAAAAGTGACCCAAATGATTAGGCATATTCTCTAGATTCCTTCTTCGATGCTCTAATGCCTGTTCTTCTTCCCTTTCTCTACATTTGGCATAAATAAAATATCAAACAGGCAATGGAATAATAATTCCATCTCCAAAAGAAGTGGTACTGAGCAACAATAAAAAATATATCTTGTCTTTTTATTTTAAAAAATAATTCTATATCTCCACTGAAATTTAAGAAATGATGTCTAATCAACATAAACATTCTAGTTGAAAAATCAAACTATATGAGTGGCCAAGAGAACTATATCTCAAGCATTTAAGTGAACATAGATCAAGACTTCCCCAAAGCTTACTAAGTGTGAATTCCAGTGACCCACCACTTTACCTTAGCACTTCGTATCAGGAGCACAAGGCTGCCTAGTATAACCAAGTCTTGGTATGGACAACATATATCACTTTTAGTCAGGGCGTTTTGTTTCATGTGAAATTCAGTATTAATATAAAAAGAAACCAAGCTGTCGTTGGAAGAGTTTTGTTTTAAGGTGAGATTGTGTGTGTGCTTTATGCACTGTGAGGGTTTTGATATATTTGTGGGCTTTTATCAGTCGAGCACAAGCGATAATTATGTCACTTCCTCTGGGCCACAGTGTACCCAAATCCAGGAACGATGATAAAAAGTGTATTTCGAAATGAACATCAAATATTCTTGTACTTAGTTGTGTATTCTAAGGTAGATTTGTTTAACCCAATAATATTTTCATGCAGTAGATTCCATTATGTTCCTGTTCCAGGAGGGATCATAAAGTTAATTTTATGAAAAAATGAATATCAAATTGTGTGGACCTTCCAGTGGATTTGAAGTCCTAGAGATTCTGGAGTATTAGTAGGTTTTAACACAACTTTAAATATCAAATGTATTAGTGCATGAAAAGTAATTTATATTTCTGCTTTCTTTCAGAATACTTACAGTTGTTGAATCTATGGATGTTTGTTGAATTTAATTGTTTGCTTTGACTGAAGGAGTTTTATAGTTTGCGTTATAAGAATACCTGATTCCAAGAAAATAAAGCTCAACATATTTATTAATGGTATATAAAATTGATATTGGTTGATTCTGAGAGAGAAAATAGATCTCATTTAAAAAAAAACTTTCGAGAAGATTGTTCCACATTTTTCCCTTTTTCTTAGTGTAGAAGCAAATCTTATTTTTAAAACAATACTTTCCTCCTCCCGCAGACTACCACCATCAGGAAAAGTTATATGTTTACATGAATTGGCATTAAGTGGAAGAAAGGATCTGAAAGGCAAGCAGAATGCCAGGGATGGCACAAAACTATGACTGTCTGTTGAACGGAGATTAACCTATGTAATTCGGCCTGGGATATGTGTGAAGATTCCCCAGCATTTTATATTGTCAGGGATTCTAATTTCTTTCAAGGCTTCCACGTACCAATGGCACATTATTTTCCATCTCAAAATTAGAGTTTAGAAAAACCTTCTAATTTTGGCAGAGGGAGACTTTATATGTAAAATTTCTTAAAGGTAGTGATGAAGCAAATTATTATAACATTTGGAATGAGATTTTTCTTTACTGTGATAAAAAATACATAAAATTTACCCTTTTAATCATTTCTAAGTGTACAGTTCAGTGGCATTAAGTCCATTCACACTGTTGTGCGACCACCACCACTATCCATCTCCAGAACTTTTTCATCCTCCCAAATTGTAACTCTACACCCACTGAACAAAAACTCCCCATTCCCCTTTCCTTCTCGTTCCTGGTAACCTCTATTCTACTTTCTATCTCTATGAATTTGCCTATTCTAGTTACTCATATAAGTAGAATCATACAAAATTTGATTTTTGTGTCTAGCTCTTTTCATTAGCATAACTTCTTCAGATTTCATCCATGTTGTAGCATGTGTCAGAATTTCCTTCCTTTTTTAAGTCTGAATAATATTCCATTGTATGTATATACCACATTTTGTTTATCCATTCATCTGTTGATGGACACTTAGGTTGTTTCCACCTTTTGGCTGTTGTAAATAATGCTGCTGTGAACATTGGTGTAAAAGTATCTGAGTATCTGTTTTCACTTCTTTTGTGTATATACCTAGGAGTGCAATTACGCAGTCATATGGTAATTCTACAGTTAATTTTTGAGGAGCTGCCAAACTGTTTTCCACAGTGGCTGAGCCATTTTACCTTCCCACCAACAGTGCACAGAGGTTCTAATTTTTCCACATCCTTGCCAATACTTGTTAGTTTCTCTTTTATTGATAATAGCCATCTCATGGGTGTGAAGTGGTATCTCATTGTGGTTTTGATTTGCATTTCCCTAATGACTAGTGATGTTGAGCATCTTATTGTGTGCTTATTGGCTATGTGTATATCTTCTTTGGATAAATGTCTATTCAAGTGCTTTGCCCACTTTAGAATTGGGTTGTTTGTTTTTTTGTTGTTGAGTTGTAGGAGTTCTTCATATATTCTGGATATGAATCCTTTATCAGATATATGATTTTCATGGAATGTGATTTTTAGTAGAAAGTTTCTAAAAAACTTTATATTTTTTCCACCTATTTGTGTATATGACATTTCACATTTAAGAGTTAATTCTGTGGAATTTCATAACATATGGTCATATAAATAAAAACAATCAAATATTTAAAAAAATTCTTTGTTTCTAAAACCCACCAATCTGAGGTCACATTAATTTCAAGTAAATCATGGTTTGATTAGAGGATATCTAGCCAGCATAAGAGATTACAGTCCAGTGGGTGATATAACATTCAATGACACAGCATTTATTCTGCAAATGAAATTAGAAGGGCCATTTGGCCTTTGTCGCTCTAGAAATTTGGATCACTGAAGAAGATTAGCTGCCATCCCCTAGAGTCTGTTTTTTTCCCCTCAGTGTCCTCCTCATTTAAAAGCTTTTTCATTTGAGTTAAGAGAGTTGTGAAGCAGGTAGATTAGAAATAAGAATTTTAAAACTTGGTTCCAGTTCTGCTTTTGATGTGTTGATATATTGACAGTGTTATTGAAAATCCAGCAGCAACTCTTAAAGAGTTGAAAAGAAAGATATTAAAAAAAAAAGTGTAAGACTTTTTGAATAGGATAAGGACAATAAAGATTTTTGTGTCATTTATATGTGGAATCTAATTTAAAAAAAACAAAGCTCATAGATACAGAGAATAGATTGGTGGTCACCAGAGTGGGGCAGGGATGGGCAAAATGGGTGAAGAGGGTCAAAAGGTACAAACTTCCAGTTATAAAATAAATAAGTCACAGAGATGTAACATACAGCATGGTGACTATAGTTAATAATACTGTATTGTGTATTTGAAAGTTGCTAAAAGAGTAGATCTTAAAAGTTCTCATTACAAGAAAAAAAAGTTGTAACTATGTGAGGTGACGAATGTTAACTAGACTTTTTGTGGTGATCATTTTGCAATGTATACAAATATTG